AGATAAGATTTTAACAACTCTGAGCTATTAGCTAAGTTCTCCCCAAACGAGCTTGATGGGCTGAATGGCCTCCTCTCGTTTGTAAATTTCTTATGTTCTTAGTTTATTTATGCTATTTATAAGACATACTTTGTATTGCTTGATTTAAACAATTTATTATGCTACACAAAGTGACAGATACTATTCATTTGTTGTAATGCCAAATCTCTTAAGTGCCATATTGTTAAAAACTACAACCTACAATCATGTCACAAAATTATAACTCCAAATATTCTGTATAGAAAAACTAACAATAGCCCAGAAAGGCTAATAATCATATCAGTGATTACTTAAAGTGCAGTATTAAGAGGTAACAGAGCAGAATATTTAAAGAAATTAATATACATAGTCAGTAATACATGAAGGAATTAAGATCATTTCTTTGCTCTTGGTACACCATGGTGAACACATCAGTTATATCTAGAGATTGCTGGCAAGGAGGAAAATGCCAATGGCCAGCAACAAGGACCCTTGAGGCCTGATTCCTGCAGCTGGAGTGTCTGGCAATTCTGTCAAAGGAAAATGAAAAAAGACCAAAAAACGTTAGAGTAACAAAAGAATGCAACGTTGCCTCAGTATGCTGGAAAGTTACTGACAGTGTCCGTGACTTACCCATGACTTGGATGGAGCCAGGCAGTATGGTGAGAGAGCTGATACTGCTGTTTGCCATTACCAGGGTATTTATTACTTGGGATGAGCTTGGTGGTGCACCTGTGGTGCTGAATGTTAGATGTACATCTGTGACCACTGATCCCCGACTGAAGAGAGAGGGGCAAAGTTACAGCAATACACACAACATGCTCCTTCATGGCACAAGGTCTGTGTGTACTAACTGGAAGAATGAACTTACTAAATCGGTGTCTTACCTGAATCGAATCACTTTACTGTCTCTATATTGACTACCAAATTTGTCCGTGTACACTTTATTGAGCTGTGGAAAAACATAAATTTAAACTTGTAAAATATGCAATTCAAGAAAAAGGTAGGCTCTTTAAATCCGTTCCATAAATGAACTATGTCAACACACTGTACCACAGCACGGAATGCTGGAGTCAAGACTGAGTCACTTCAACTTAGATTCACAGGTTGTATGTAAGTATGCCAATACAGTATACAGTATATAGTTCCTAATCTGTTTATTTTAATGTGACAATACAGCTCTGGAAAAAATAAAGAGACCACTGTACATTTTAAAAAAATCTACAATTTTAAATCCTGGTTTAATCCTAATTCTGCTGGCCGAAGGCTACACTACGAGGCAGACTCCTTCCCGGCTCAAAGTTTATACGACAGCAGTACGCAAGAATGAGGTGAAGCAGAAGACACCAGGAATGACCAAAACCAGCCAGGTAAGTGACTTTCTAATGCCAGAGATGACTGTCAACTTATCTGGCAGTGACTCAAATTGGAGGATGACATCAAGTGACCTTCAAGAATGAGAAACATTAAGTGGTGTGAAGTGCACTGCTAGGATGGTTCATAACAGGCTCATAGAAGCAGGACTGATGACCCATAAAGAAAGGAAGGAGCCCTTCATCAATGAGAAGCAGGGAAGAGCCAGGCTGGAGTTTGCAAACAAAAAATAAAAAATGTATATTTTACACAGGCGCATACCCATAAATTGACAAATGAGTAAAACAAAAATTTTGCTGTGGTCTCTTAATTTCTTCTAGAGCTGTATTTTCATTATCCATCCATCCATATAGCCTGTTTGTGTTTACAGTGTTCATGATAATTTCTAAGTTCTATTTTCCCTGCTATACTGAAATTGCATCAAACTGAACCCAAGACCAAACTTTGTGTGCTATTACACATTGACCAAGCAAATTCTTGTTACATGGCATCATACACTGGACTTACCAACAAGGTCACCTTTGCTGCTAATTCTAGGAATTGAGGTGAATTGTTGTTCGCTAATTCCTGAACAAAATTTTGTGACAAGGAAAACCTCAATCTGACAGTAGTGGTGAGTAAGGTTGTAGTTGGAAGGCTAGCAGTGCTGGTAGAAGCTGTGACAGTGGAATCATTATGCCGACCACTAGTGACAATGTTGGATTTTTTAGTGGAAAGAGACACTGTAGTAGTTCTTCCTGTACTGGGCTGCAGTGTAGTTTGTATTAAAACTGTTTTAAAAAAAGGAGATGGTTAATGTGGCACTGAAAACAAAACAAGAATAAATAAATCTGAGAAGGCAGAAATATTGAAATGAGAGACACAAATATCTTGCTATCCATGATATCTACACCAAACATAGACTCACACATACCTTGGGAGGATATACTTTCAACACTAATGTTAAAGCTAGAGATGGTATTGTTTGTGATGGCTTCCACCAGCACTTCCTTCAAGTCCTTTGGAGTGGGAAATCCACTTGACGGAGATATTGATGCAGAGGTGTTCAGCTTCACCTCCGAATCCACGAAGACAGATCCAGGCCTAAATATCAGCTTGTTTGTTACTGAATACCAACTGTGTATTATACAATTACTGGAAGAAACAGAGGATTCTTACCTGAATTGTAGTATAATCACCCCAATGAAAATATCACCATATTGCTTCTCAAAAATTTTGCTAAGCTGAATGTGACAGAAAATAAAATAAATAGAATGCACAACACTCAATAACAATGGTTTTGTTTTGGAACTATGTTGTGATATATAACATATGATATTTTCACTTTAGGGTGGGTAAATGTATTGGCTTTCAGTACATTATTCAATAAACAACATGACATATTCATGTAACACTTTATTACAAAATAGGCTTTGTGTCAATGATTTCCCCCCACTGTAAGCTAATGTAAGTGGTCTAAGCATGTGGTAGGCTATAGACTAGGCTATGATGTTTGTTAGGTTAGGTGTACTGTACTAAAATACATTTTCACCATACGATATTTTAACCTTAAGATAGGTTTATTTTTTTCAGTGTAAGGTGGTAAGACCTACCTCAGTAACCACTGTAGTCTCTAATACTTTGTAAACCATTGAGTTCTTATCAGTAAGATCTGATGTAAATGTTGTCATAATGGCAAACACAAGTAAAACTTTTTCTGGATGAACTGCAGCATTAGTTGTTGAAGAAGTAGTCTTTACAGCTGTAGCTGCAATTTCTGTGGAAGTAGTTTTCATTTCACGTGTAGCTACCATTTTTGCAATGGTTGTAGAAAAAGTATTCTTGGTAGCAGCAGCTTCTGTCTTTGGTGTAGAAGCAGTTGTCATTTCACTTGAATTTATCATTGCTTTGGCTGTAGAATGAGCGGTCTTTCCAATTGTAACTGCAATTGGACTTTTTGCTGTAGAAGCAGTTGTCATTTCACTTGAATATGTCATTGCTTCAGTTGTAGAACGAACAGTCTTTCCAGCTGTCACTACAGTTGTACTTTCTGCTGTAGCAGCAGTTGTCATTTCACTTGAATTTGTTATTGCTTCAGTTGAAGAACGAGCATTCTTTACAGCTGTAGCTACAGTTGTACTTTTTGC